AAAAGATCTTCATGACCCAGATAATGACGATGGTGTGATCACTCACCTAGAGCTAGACATCCTGGAATGCGAAGTCAAGTGGGCCTTAGGAGGGCTAGTGGAGGTGATGGAATTCCAGTTGAGCTATTTCAAATCCTAAAAGATGATGCTGTGAAAGCGCTGCATTCAATATGCCAGCAAATTTGGAAAACTTAGCAGTGGTCACAGGACTGGAAAAGGTCAGTTTTCATTCCAATCCCGAAGAAAGGCAATGCCAAAGAATGCTCAAACTACCACTTGAGTGCACTCATCTCACACACAAGTAAATTAATCCTCAAAATTCTCCAAGCCAGGCTTCAACAGTACCATGAATTTTCAGACATTAAAGCTGGTTTTAGAAAAGGCAGAGGAACCAGAGATCAAATTGCCAACATCTGTTGGATCATCAAAAAAGCAAGAGAGTTCCAGAAAAATATCTATTTCTGCTTTATTGACTATGCCAAAGCCTTTGACTGTGTGGATCACAATAAACTGTGGAAAATTCTGAAAGAGATGGGAATACCAGACCACTTGACTGCCTCTTGAGAGATCTGTATGCAGGTCAGGAAGCAACAGTTAGAACTGGACATGGAACAACAGACTGGTTCCACATTGGGAAAGGAGTATGTCAAGGCTGTATATTGTCACCCTGCTTGTTTAACTTATATGCAGAGTACATCATGAAAAACTCTGGGCTGGATGAAGCACAGGCTGGAATCAAGATTGTCGGGAGAAATATCAATAACCTCAGATATGCAGATGACACCACCCTTATGGCAGAAAGCCAGGAAGAACCAAAGAGCCTCTTGATGAAAGTGAAAGAGGAGAATGAAAAAGTTGGCTTAAAGCTCAACATTCAGAAAACTAAGATCATGGCATCCGGTCCCATCAGTTGATGGCAAATAGCTGGGGAAACCGTGGAAGCAGTGACAGACTTTATTTTGGGGGGGCTCCAAAATCATCACAGATGGTGACTCTAGCCATGAAATTAAAAGATGCTTGCTCCTTGGAAGGAAAGTTATGACCAACCTACATAGCATATTAAAAAGCAGAGACATTACTTTGCCAACAAAGGTCTGTCTAGTCAAGGCTATGGTTTTTCCAGTAGTCATGTATAGATGTGAGAGTTGGACTACAAAGAAAGCTGAGTGCCAAAGAATTGATGCTTTTGAACTGTGGTGTTGGAGAAGACTCTTGAGAGTCCCTTGGACTGCAAGGAGATCCAACCAGTCTATCCTAAAGGAGATCAGTCCTGAATATTCATTGGAAGGACTGATGCTGAAGCTGAAACTCCAACACTTTGGCTACCTGACGCAAAGAACTGGCTCATTTGAAAAGACCCTGATGCTGGGAAATCGTCATCATGAAGGCAGGAGAAGGGGATGACAGAGGATGAGATGGTTGGGTGGCATCACCAACTCAACAGACACGAGTTCGAGTAAACTCTGGGAGTCAGTGATGGAGAGGGAGGCCTGGCATGCTGTAGTCCATGGCGTTGCAATGAGTCGGAGATGACTGAGTGGCTGAACTGAACTGAACTAATTCTGTCATCTTAAAATGTAAATTGTGGGAGTGGGCCTAGTAAGACCTTTACAACCTTGAGACAGTCTTTTGATTTATTGTAATAACCAGTTAAAAAAGTATATGGCTCCCTTGCTAAGACTAGAGAGGGGGGCACTCTCCGTCCCCCTTCTGATGTCTATGTCAGAAGCTTTCTCTGTCCCTTTTCATACTTTATTAAAACTCCACTACACAAAAGTTCTTGAGTGATCAAGCCTGGTCTCTGGTCCTGAAACTAAATCTTTTTCGGAGATCACAAATCCGACACCGTTCAAGGTAAGCTACCATAACCCCCATCTCTACCTGCCCTAGACTTGAGAATGCCTTCCTCGACCTTCGCTGACAACTTCTTAACTTTCCCTCAGCCACGCCAAAGACAATGAGGGCACTAGGTTCGGCCAATACTCGGAACCACTCTCTCCGGCAAAGACCAGAAATTCAGATTGGCTTTAGAAAAGGCGCCTGTGACAGGCGGAGCCAAGTTGCATGCTGGGATGAAGGTCCAGGTTCCCATCTTCCGGGGGGCTGGCCCCGGACTACATTTCCCAGAAGTCTTTCGGCACAAATCCTCTCCGGGCGGGGCGAGTTTGAGGAGAGCGCTTCAAGTGCTGGGCTAGAGCCTTTGAGGATTTTCCGGGTCTTATTTCCCATGAACCCCTGGGCCTAAACTAATCTCAGTCTGTGGGTCCCTTTCCGGTGTCTCTGAGATTTTTGGACTCTGTGCGGTGAGTCTGACGCGTTGGAGGAAGTGGTCAGCTCCCGGTGAGGGTGGGAGGGCTCAACGGACTTCTCTAGCGCCCTGTCAGAAACGTTAGTGAGGGAGGGAGGCGCTCGAGGTGAGAAGGCCCGGCGGCTGACAGGTTGGGTGGTGTGTGTGAGCGAGAGTCTGAGAAAAATGGTGTGTGACAGACGGCGTGACAGGGCCAGAGTGTGTCTCCCTAACAGTGTGAGAGATTGGGACTGTGTGACAAAGTGACGAGGTGCGTGGCCTTGTTAGTACGTGTGGTTTGCTTTGGCGGGACGCTCTGGGTTCTCTCTAGACTCTCTTAGTCGGCTGCCTGAGTTAAGTGACCACAAGAAAAGAAGTCCTGTGTTAAGCCCTAGAATGTGTGTTTCCGGCAAGAAGACACAGGTCGAGTCTTGAGATGAGGGTTTTACAGTTTTACATCTGGAAGCGTCCTCATCACAGTCTCCTGGGAAGACGTGTAGGATTCCTCTTTGCGGGGCCAGCTTTATGTGTCAGCACCACCGCAGCCAGACCTCTGTCCCCAAGAATTGCTCTCAGCTGAGTTGCAGCTTCCCCTTTAATGCCGTTTGTTTGTGTGTGGACGACGGCAGATGTGACCCCGGAGAGTGTTTTGTTTGTTTTTAGTTAGGTCTATCTGAGTTCCAAGGAATTCTGGTGTCTCACGATTTCTTCTCATCCCTTCCCGCCGCCCCTACCGACCCCCTCACCCCCACCTCCTCCCCCACCCCCGGTGCTGCTCGGTTTCTGAGACGACCCTGAGGAGTAGGAAAGAATTGTTACATATTTTTTGTTGTTGCATATTTAGAAATCAAGGTTCAGGTGAATTTGTCTTTCTTTTTTTTTTATTCATAGTTCCCTTTGTTTCTTATCTCTTTCTGCGTCTTTATCGAATTTGTTAGAACGTTGCTCCTGTTATATGTTTTGGTTTTTTGGCCGGAGGGATCGAGCTGCACTCCCTGGATTGGAAGGCGAAGTCCTAATCACTGGACTGCCAGGGAAGTCCCACCTTTGTTTTTAAATCGTGAGAATTTCTGTTTTCCTTGACTTTAGATATCTCCATTAGTAGTGTCTCTGAAACAGTGTCAGACTTTATTTTGGTGGTCTCCAAAATCACTGCAGATGGTGATTGCAGCCATGAAATTAAAGACGCTTACTCCTTGGAAGGAAAGTTATGACCAACCCAGATAGCATATTAAAAAGCAGAGACATTACTTTGCCAACAAAAGTCCGTCTAGTCAAGGCTATGGTTTTTCCAGGGGTCATGTATGGATGTGAGAGTTGGACTGTGAAGAAAGCTGAGCGCCGAAAAATTGATGCTTTTGATCTATGGTGTTGGAGAAGACTCTTGAGAGTCCCTTGGACTGCATGGAGGTCCAACCAGTCCATCCTGAAGGAGATCAGTCCTGGGTGTTCATTGGAAGGACTGATGCTGAAGCTGAAACTCTAATACTTTAGCCACCTCATGTGAAGAGTTGACTCTTCGCATGGAAAAGACCCTGATGCTGGGAGGGATTGGGGGCAGGAGGAGAAGGGGACAACAGAGGATGAGATGGCTGGATGGCATCACCAACTCATGGACATGAGTTTGAGTAAACTCCGGGAGTTTGTGATGGACAGGGAGGCCTGGCGTGCTGCGATTCATGGGGTTGCAAAGAGTCGGACACGACTGAGTGACTGAACTGAACTGAAGTGTCTCTCCTGGACCTTCTCGTGAATGACCCACTATGCTGGTGCAGCCCTCTCCCCAGAGACCCCCTATTGTCCTTCTCCTCAGTCAGTAGCCATCTGTTCACATGGCATATTGTTCAAATCCTTGGATGCATTGGGAGACATTTTTCAAGAATTATATCCAAATGTTTTAAATTGACCAGTGAAGAATGAGAGTGGTGTATCCACACTTGTTAAGTATCTGCTCTGTAGGAAATATTGTTGTGTTTATGTGCGTACATTTTCTTGCTCTGACTTTGAAGGAAAAAAAAAATTTGTGTTCATTCACAGGAGAATCTTGACAGTGAAAGTGTCTCACTGTATAGCTAACTACAGCTACAAAATGTTGAGGAGGTGGTAGGTGTCATTTGTTTCAGACCCACTGATTTTCAGTGTTGGGCCTGTTGGTTCAGTTTTCTTCATGACTGAATTCCCTATCACTCAATTTTTTACATTTGGAAATATCTTTATTTTTCTGATTTGGCTTCCCTGGTAGCTCAGCTGGTAAAGAATCCACTTGCAATTCAGGAGACCCCAGTTTGACTCCTGGATCAGGAAACTTCCTGGAGAAGGGATAGGCCACTCACTCCAGTATTCTTGGGCTTCCCTGGTGGCTCAGATGGAAAAGAATCTGCCTGCATTGTGGGAGACCTGGGTTTGATCCCTGGGTTGGGAAGATCCCCTAGAGAAGGGAACAGATACCCACTCCAGTATTCGTGCCTGGAGAATTCCATGGACAGAGGAGCCTGGCAGACTATAGTCCATGGGGTCGCAAAGAATTGGACACAGCTGATCAACTTTCACTTTTATTTTTCTGATTAGCGTTAATGCAGGTTTGTTGCAAAACATTCACCAATCCAGTAAATGTATAGAGAAGGAAGTTAAAATTCTATCCCGTAGAGTTAATCATTCTATTATTTTGATGTCTTTTTATTCAGTTGTTTAAGTCAGGACTGGCTCACTTCAGCATACCTGGACTAAAGCTTCTTTTTCCTTCTGCAGCTCTGGCTTTTCTGGACTCTGTGCTTCACCAATAGAGGAACCCTATGGAGCACTAATTAGTTCCTGGGATTCTAGAACCATGACTGACGTAAGTTGGTCTTTCTTCTTGACATGTTGTGATGTTTAGGTCATGTGGATCTTTTCCTGAATTACCCTAAAGCTTTCTACTTAACAGTTACCCCCTCCTTGAACCTCCTTCTCAGTTTTTCCTGTTCCAGTAAACCGTGATGCCAATTAGCCCAGCATCTGCCCTCTGTGCCATTTCCAGTCAGCGCCATTGTATTCATCAACCACATGACTCAACATCTCCTGTGGCTCAGTCTTCCATCAAAAGCAGTGAAGGGATGGAGTCCTCTAAGGGAAATATTTGAGCATCTTTCGAAGAATAACACAAAGAAATATACTGAACAATCAGCTCGCTTTTGTTTATATACTAGGAGAGCCAACAGTAGGTTGAGTTCATCATCTTTCAAAGGCACGAAGAGGATTCATACAAGAGGAGGAAAGAGGAGAGAATGAAGGACTTCAGACTTTTAGAAAGCAACAGTTTTCCTTTTGCAAGCCAAGATGCTGATTAATTCATGTTCTTTCTAGGAAAAAAAGGATAAAGTTCCCCCAGTAGTTTTCCTTTTTCAGGCTAATATGCAGCTATCAAAGAAGCGGGTCAGGGTACTCTGCCCTTAGCCAGCTGAATGGTCACCCATGGGAAGAGTTTCAATTGTGTATTCTCTGGTAGAGCTTTGGTGTTTAACTGGCACAGATCCATATAAGGTTGTCTTAGGTCTTGCCTTTTGTTACTACTTCCATATTTGTTCAGCCAGGGCTGCCCCATTTCCCTTATTAGGGTTTCTCATTCCCATGACAAGTCTGTGGTGTGATGAGTTAGTGATGAGGGTTCCTTTGGATCACACAGGAATACTTGGAACTTCTACACAGACCTGAGTTTTCCAGAAAGATAAGATAGAATTTGGGATTTCTTAGTTTCAGCTTCAGTTTGTATGAGATCACATGTTTTGCAAACTTTCAGGATTAGAGTGGGGAGTGAGTGGTTCTTTCCAGGGATTCCCTTATCAATAAACACCAGTGTCAAAGTCCATTTTGTTACTGACCAGGTTGTGACATCTGTGTCATGTCTGATCTTCTATCCGTATCTTCCAACTTGAGAACAAGGAATTGTTAAGCAATGGATGGTTGATGGTACCACATAAGAAGAGGATCCATATTCTTAAATACTGGATGATAACAGACTCCTGGAATTAAGAAAATCTTTAAAAGTTTTGTTCACCCTAAATGTACAGTAGTTATTAATCTTGTACATTCATATGATGAACTGAATTGCATCTAATAATGTTTTATGTATTCAATTCATCACAATAAGAAAAAATGCTAACCACAGGGAACTGTACTCAATATTTTATAATTACCTAAAAGGGAAAAGAATCTGAAATCCCTGTGCTATATACCTGAAACTAGCACAATATTATAAATCAACTATACTTCAGTAAAAAATTAATATAAGAAGAAAAAGGAAAATGCCTATGATCTAACAAAATGATTCACTTGAGGTTTAATGGTAATCCTTCATTTAATGGAAATCATTTTTCTAAAATAATAGATTTTATAGTACATTTGGTGAAAAAAGGTGGTTTTTTTTTCATTTTTTTTAAAGGAACAAGATGGTGTAACAATTCCTATATATAAAGAATTTATGAAGTGGGCACATAGCAGGTTGCATGTATGTATACACACCCATAAGCACCCCTGTCCCTTCCCCCAACACACTTTTTATTTAATAGAGGGGAAACTGGGATTATTTTATGCATATCAGACGGATCTGGACAGCTGAGTTATCTCACAGTATACAGGAAGTTCTTTCTGCGATAACAGGCTTCTTCTCGAACATGTAGACACTCTGCTTTAATCATACTAATTTCCTTACTTTTTCCTACCCATCTGTTTCACAGGCTTTCAGCTGACTTGGTTGCTGTATTTTTCTCTTCTTATAGGTTATTCTTCATACTCCTCTTTCAATTTCTTTAATTTCACAAGTAATGAGTGGGTTTTTGGTTTTAGGGCTTGGTGACATTCAGGGATGTGGCCATTGACTTCTCTCAGGAGGAGTGGGAATTCCTGGACCCTGCTCAGAGGGACTTGTATGTGGATGTGATGTTGGAGAACTACAGCAACTTGGTCTCACTGGGTAAGGTCATATACCTGAAATAATTTAGACTCTTCTATCTGCAACATCAGCTTTCTCCACTGGGAACTACAGGGCTGTTTTTGAAGATGAATTTCTCCCTTCATGTTCTCAAAATAATGTTTTGGTATTCACTGGCTTAGAAATGGGTTCATTGAGCACCTTGATCATCCCATCCCTCAGGGAGCTTCAACCCTCCTCTGGCCTTTTCTGCAGTGGCCTCTCTTCGGTGACCAAGGAGCTGGATTTGTATTATGGGGCATATGTTTATTTCATAACTACTGTCAGAGAAACCAGATTTCAAACTGTGTTTAACGTCAGCATTTCTACAGGTGATCTCTGTCCTTGCTAGTCATAGTGTGGTTCTTTTATGTGAGGGACCATGGAAAGGCCAGAGCAGAGTTTGTGAAAGAGGGAGTACCCAGAAATGAGTGAGGGAGACAGACAGGGCCCAGGGGACAGGCTGTGCTGTTGGTTTCGGGGAATAATGTGGATTGTTCTCTCAGTGATTAGAAGCCATGATTTGGTTTACGTGGGGTTTTACCTTTTTTATTTTTCAGTGTTACACAAACACCTATCATCAGCTTCTTCCAGGGTTTGTTAGAAATTGCAGCTTGTCAGGTCCTACTCCAGCATCTGTATTTACTCATAGTCCCCTGGTGACTTTTATTCACCTTCAAGAATTGCTCCCCTTTGTCATATTCTGACCCATATATAGGAAGTACAGCTAGAAACGAAATCCTGATACTCTGTGGCTTTCAGAAGAACCTCTCTACTTTAATAGAGTGGTGGATTGAATGAACAGAAATTCATTGCATACTAAGTGAACATGTTCCTTTACTTCCAACATATTTGAAGTTGAAAATTACAATCTGAACTTTGCACTTTACAAAGTTAAATCCTACACTGAGTTAAATCCTAGAAATGTCTCACAAAACTTGTTTTCACCTTAGCAAAATAATAACAGTAACAATAATAACATTAATAGTTAACATTATGCTTACTAAAAACCAGAGCAAAGCAGAGCAAATACATGAACATTTTTAACTTTTACAACATCCCCATGAGGTAGGTACTATTTTTAACCCTTTTTATGATGAGATTACTGAGGCACATACACAGTTTAAATGACCTCCTAAGGTCATTTAAACAGCTTGTGGGGATACAGTGGCAACAGTTGAACCTAAGAAGTCTGGCTCTAGAATCTGTGTTTTAAAACCACTGTTACGTGTTCTGTTTGCTCAGAAGACGTAGAACCTGAATGAGCCTAAAACAAGGTCATTTATCTACTCTATATGATCTCATGTTCTTCATTCCCACTGTTTCTCTCTTCTCTGGAGTCTTTATCAATATTATTTTTACCTTTATTGCAAATTTAACCAAATGTTTTGCACTTATAATTAAAAAAAAAAAAACAAAAAACAAATCTCTCAAGCCCTTTGAGATTTCTTTTCCTGCAAGCAGACACTCCATTTCTAAGCCAGATATAGCAGCATTATTGGAGCAAGGAGAAGAGCCCTGGATAATTGTTGGGGATGTGAGGAGGTGCAAGAAGTTTGATCCCAGGAAGGCAAAGGCAGGAGGGAGCCATCAGCCCAGGGAACAACCTCACAGGTTACACAGGAGGAAAAAGGGAACAGCTGGGATGGTGTTTGGAAGTTCTTTATGAAGGACCAAGGCCTGTGGAGTGAAGGCCTGACACCTGGGAGAAGATAGAGATCTCAGTTTGAGCTACCAGCGGAACTTCATCTTGATCTCATTTCTGAGACTCTTTGTTTCTCTTCTATTTCCTTCCATTTCAGTGAGGAATTCTTTTTTGTTCCCATTGGAACCATTTTACTTATATGTTGGATATAGCTATTTTACAGCTGTTTTGCATTTGCATATGTGAATGAATATACATACTCTTTCATCAATTCAGCACATATTTGGAGTTCCTACTCCTAGCCAGGCTGCATACTGGGCACTATTAATACCATCAGGAACAAGATTGATAACTTGCTCATTCTTGTGTACTTTGTGTCATTGGGGAGGAACATAAATAAGTAAATAAATAGATAAATAGTATCATGTAATGAAACATGTTATTCATGAGAGGCACGCAGCATAAGAGAACAGAAAATGATGGGAACTGATACAGCTAATTCAGATAAGGGGGTCAGGGAAAGCTTTTGTGAATAGAAATGTGATGTCTAGGATCAGGTTATATGAATACCTGGGGGAGGAACATTTCAGTCACAATGAACTGAATGGCAAAGGCCCTGAAGGTGGTAAGGAGCTTTATTGGAAGAAATCTAAGAAGGGTAGAGTTAGTAGAAGAGTGTGTACTAAGAAATTGGGTCCCAGAGATAAGCACGGGTTAGATAATATACAGTTGTGTTGTTGTTTTCTTAGGAATTTGGATTGTTTAGTTTCATTCTGAAACAATTCATTCATCTTTTCTTGATTTACAGTCCTTATTTCTTGAATAAAAATTTACAATATTATGTTTCAAGTATATAGCAAAGTGATTCAGTTGTACATATCTATGTGTGTGTATATATATATATATATTTCAGATTGTATTCCATTATAGGTTATTATAAGATATTGACTATAGTTCCCTGTGCTATACAGTAAGTGCTTGTTGCTTTTCTATTCTGTGTATAGCAGTTTTGTTAATCCCATACTCTTAATTTCTTCCTCCCCTGACTTTTCCCCTTTGGTAACCATAAGTTTCTTTTTTATGTCTGAGTCTGTTTCTGTTTTGTATATAGATTCATTTGTATTATTTCTTAGATTCCACATATAAGTGATGTCATATAATATTTGTCTTCCTCTGTTTGACTTACTTCACTTAGTATGATATTCTCTAGAGCCATCCATGTTGCTGCAAATGGCTGAGTAATATTCCATTGTGTGTATATATATCATATCCTCTTAAACCAGTTGTCTGTTGATGGGCATTTGGGTTGTTTCCATGTCTTGGCTATTATAAATAATGCTGCTATGAACATGGGGTGCATGGATCTTTTTGAATTAGAGTTTTTGTCTTTTCAAGATATATGCCCAGGAATGGGATTACTGGATAATAATTATTGCTCTATTTTTAGTATTTTTAAGGAACCTCTGTTTTTGTTCTCCATAGTGACTGTACCATTTTACATTCCCACCAACAGTGTATGAGGGTTCCCTTTTCTCCACAGTCTCTCTAGCATTTATTACTTACAGACTTTTATGATGGCCATTCTGACTGGTATGAAGGGGTGCCTCAGTGCAGTTTTGTTGTGCATTTCTGTAGTAATTAGTGATGTAGAGCATTTTTTCATGTGCCTGTTGACTATCTGTATGTGTTCTTTGGAGAAATGTCTATCTAAGTCTTGTGCCCATTTTTTTATTGGGTTGTTTATTGATATTGAGTTGTATGAGCTGTTTGTGTATTTTGGAAATTAACCCCTTTAATGAGGCTTTTATGAGGAGGAACTTTGAGGCTATTAAATATTGTATTCCTCTTCAAACTTTCAGTTTATTCATATGTTGGATTTCTAGTCAGCAGGTTGTAATTTGTTCTTCCCATTATTTATTTTGAAGCTCAAAATACATGAGCTGGTCCCAGATGTGATCCATGGGAACCCTCTAAATAGTACCTTCAGTGTCCTTTGGCATGTCTCCATCACACTTAGAGCACCTCCTTATTTTCTGACATAACTCCAGCCCTAAAGTCAGCCTTTTCTTCAAGGTGCCTTGGTTCCTTTTAGTTGAGTATGATATTTAGAAGCCAGAATCTGAGTGCTAGATTTGCTCATTGCTGCTGGGGAATGGCTGTCCCTAGGCCCTCTCAGTGAACAGAGTAGGGAGAGAATATGTTTATATGCACGCATGCATATATGTACACACTTTTACATCTATACCATGAGTTCACACAGATGTCTCTAGTTCCTTTTCAACACTACAGGTTTCATTTCAGCTTATGCACCTTCCATATTTCTAATTCCCTTTTCTGACAATGAAAAACCTGGGTTCCATTATTCTTAATTTATTTATAATTGACCCTTGAACAACATAGGTTTGAACCATGCAGGTCCACTTATATGCAGATTTTTTTCAAGAAATATACAGTTGATTCTCCATTTCCACAGGTTCTACATCCATGGAAAAGGAGGGCCAACTATGGGACTTTGCATCCTTGGGTACCTGAGGTGGGTTCTGGAACCAATCCCCCAAGATGCCAAGGGATGATTGTACTTACTTGATCAAACTTTCTGTGACTAAGCAGTCTTCTGTTATCACTACCACCACCACCTTGATCGTGTGATTGCCTTTCTATCCCACTTGGGCTGTGACAACCCATGAAAATCACTAAGCACATGAACACTTGTCCTAACCTTGCTTGCATTCTGACTCCTGACATGAGACAACCCTTTTACATTGTGACCATCCTCATGCTGGCTGACCTTCAGATCATGCTCTGGGCCTCATTTTATTAAATCCTGATCCTTGAGGATGTGTTTTGAAAATATTCTGTGTTATGAGATGGAAAGTCTTCATTAAGCTCTTCTGCTGTATACTGAAGTGTAGTGGTTACCTTGCAGGAAACTGCCTGAGTCGTTGTTTGAATTATGAGTTAAACTAGCTGCTTTTTTCATGGAACACCCTTTTTTTTTTTTTCCTTGAAAGAATGACTGACAGGCAGACTATGGTTGAAGGCTTGAGTAGTTGGAAACATTTTCTTCTAAATGAGCATGTCACTTTAAGAACAACTAAGAGTATTTATTGCCAATGATAAAATTTAAACTTTCAAGTAAAAATTAGAATTGTGTGACGCTTATATCCATTATTTTGAGCTTTCAGTTCAGTTCAGTTGCTCAGTCATGTCTGACTCTTTGTGACCCCATGAATCACAGCATGCCAGCCCTCCCTGTCCACACAAACTCCCAGAGTCTACCCAAACCCATGTCCATCGAGTCAGTGATGCCATCCAGCCATCTCGTCCTCTGTCATCCCCTTCTTCTCCTGCCCCCAATCCTTCCCAGCATTAGGGTCTTTTCCAATGAGTCAACTCTTCGCATGAGGTGGCCAAAGTATTGGAGTTTCAGCTTCAGCATCAGTCCTTCCAATGAACACCCAGGACTGATCTCCTTTAGGATGGATTGGTTGGATCTCCTTGCAGTCCAAGGGACTCTCAAGAGTCTTCTCCAACACCACAGTTCAAAAGCATCAATTCTTCAGTGCTCAGTTTTCTTCACCGTCCAACTCTCACATCCATACATGACCAGTGGAAAAACCATAGCCTTGACTAGATGGACCTTTGTTGGCAAAGTAATGTCTCTGCTTTTAAATATGCTAGCCAGGTTGGCATAACTTTCCTTCCAAGGAGTAAGTGTCTTTTAATTTCATGGCTGCAATCACTATCTGCAGTGATTTTGGAGCCCAAAGTAATAAAGTCTGATACTGTTTCTACTGTTTCCCCATCTATTTCCCATGAAGTGATTGGACCAGATGCCATGATCTTAGTTTTCTGAATGTTGAGCTTTAAGCCAAATTTTTCACTCTCCTCCTTCACTTTCATCAAGAGGCTTTTTAGTTCCTCTTCACTTTCTGCCATAAGAGTGGTGTCGTCTGCATATCTGAGATTATTGGTATTTCTCCCTGCAATCTTGATTCCAGCTTGTGCTTCTTCCAGCCCAGCGTTTCTCATGATGTACTCTGCATATAAGTTAAATAAGTAGGGTGACAATATACAGCCTTGATGTACTCCTTACCTATTTGGAACCAGTCTATTGTTCCATGTCCAGTGCTAACTGTTGCTTCCTCACCTGCATACAGGTTTTTCAAGAGACAGGTCAGATGGTCTGGTATTCCCATCTCTTTAAGAATTTTCCACAGTTCATTGTGATCCACACAGTCAAAGGCTTTGGCATAGTCAATAAAGCAGAAATAGATGTTTTTCTGGAACTCTCTTGCTTTTTCTGTGATCCAACGGATCTCTGGTTTCAATGGATCCAATTTGATCTCTGGTTCCTCTGCCTTTTCTAAAACCAGCTTGAACATCTGGACATTCACGGTTCACGTATTGCTGAAGCCTGGCTTGGAGAATTTTGAGCACTACTTTACTAGCATGTGAGATGAGTGCAGTTGTGCGGTAGTTGGAGCATTCTTTGGACTTGCCTTTCTTTGGGAATTTTGAGCTTTACAGCTTCCCAATAAATATTTTTCTGATGAGGTAGATATATTTTTAACTTATGTTTTTTTTCGATATTATGTAATGAAATACGTCAGCATTTCAAATATCTGCAGTATTCAGTGAGCCAGTATTTTTCAAATGACCAGTGCATGATATTACAGAATTATGCATGGATAAAAGAAAATCATCCAAAGTACAATGGATTCTGTAACATAGTATGAAAAGTTCATGGGTATGGTTGCATACTCCACCTTGGAACTAACCTTTTAAGAAACCATCACTTCTCATGTTTTACTGTATCAAAGAACAGCATCCACTATTACCTAAACAAACTCATAGAATATTCTGCTATTTTATAATTATATATCTGTTAGAGGCTGGATTTTCTTCACATGCTATTTTCTTCAGTGCTATTTCTTCAACCAAAATAGCATTGCCACAATTTGAATGCAAAAGAATCCAGTTGTCTTCTGTTAAGCCAGATATTAAAGAGACTTACAAAATATTTTAAGAAGTTATTCATTAATTTTTTGTTTTGGAATTTTTATTCCAAATATTACTTTTCACAAAATGTGTTATTTAACATTAATGATTTATCACTTTTAAATAAATTAATAACTTTAAATTTCTCAGTTTTAATTTCTAATATGGTTAATTTCAAAATATATAACCTACATAAACAAAAGCTCTTTTGGGTCCTCAATGCTTTTTTTTTTTTAAACATCTAAAAAGAAGTTAAACTTCTGTTCATTTACTATCACTGTTGAGCCTTAAACAAAACATTCAAATACCAAGTAATTATAATTCAAGTTCAATTCAAATTTGTTGAACTACTTATTGAGGCTAAGTTGTACAAAAGTGCTGCACTCCTCTTAGTTTACATTTGGTCATCTCAAAGTAATTGTAATATTAGGTTGGTCAGTTTAAATACTGGCTTCCTTTTGGATATACAAACAGTCTTTACACCCAAATGTTATTGTATACAAAACAATAAGAAATTATTAAATAAAATAGCAATAGTCAATGCAGTTTAGGCCTGTGCCCAATTATTCTTGATTAAAATTACTTCCCACAATCATTTCCACAGTATTCATCCACCATTTATTAGCTTACCAAGGTATTAAACAGCCACCAATAGGCAAAAACACTAGATTTGTATACTTTGTATTGCAGATATACTTAATGCATGGGCAAGCAAGGGATTCACCAATATTGAAGAGTATAAGAGTCTACTGAGACCAAAAAGTTTGAGAACTATTGCTCCAGGGTATGGTTCTTACTTTCAATATATGGTTTTTGAGAGGCCTCAAAGTAAATGCTTGGGGGTGTTCATTGAGGTCTTTCCATTTGAATTGGGTTGACTTCCAGTGTGCAACCTCTAGAATCTCTGATTTTAGTCAGTGCCCCAGGCACCTTGTGAATGCATAACATTTGGTTACAGATTCAAGAGAGAACCCCAACATAGGTTCCTGGGGCTCCTTTGCATGGCTTCTCCTTTGATAAACCTTGAACCACAAATTCCACTCACTTTAGCAGCCCTGAATTCAGATTGTAATATCCTTGCCCAGTGACTTGATTGGTGGAAAGGCACATTTTAGTTTAAGAGACTGTTTACCACGGAAGATGATGAGGAACTTGTTAAAATGACCTTTATGGAGTCCTCCAGAAAACTGTCAAATCAGAACATGATGATGACCGAAAACAACAAAATTCTGTAAAGCAATTATCCTTTAATAAAAAATAAATTTTATTGTTTTTTTTAAATAAACTTTTTTAAAAGGCCAAAAAAAAAAAAAGAACATGATGAGATCACAAGAGTTGAAAAATCACAACTGAATTTGTTGTTGGACAGGAGAGAGGCTTGTGCTTAGGAATTCACTAAGTCTCCTGATTCAGTTCACTTATGAGTATTATTTTCAATTTGTCTTTACTTCTAGTATAAAGGACTTTTTTTCTGGTAAAGGGAATAAAATGTGGTTTTCTTGTTTTCTTTCAGATTTGGAGTCTACATATGAGACAAAAAATACATTTTCAAAAAAGGACATTTTTGAAATAAATTTTTCCCAGTGGAAGATAAAGGAAAGAGATAAAACCATTAAGCTTGAGGCATCCATTTTCAAAAATAACTGGAAGTGTAAGAGCAGATTCAAGGGGCTCCAGGGACACCAAGAGAGATTCTTCAGTCAAGTGATAATCAGCTATGAAAAAATGCCCACTTACAAAAAGCATGAATCTCTTATTGCACAGCAAAGAACTCCTAATCGAGAAAAACCCTACATTTGTAAGGAATGTGGGAAGGCTTACAGTCATGGCTCAAAACTTGTTCAACATGAGAGAATTCATATGGCTAAAAAACATTTTGAATGTAAAGAATGTGGGAGGGACTTTTTAAGTGCCTATCAACTCACTGTGCATCAGAGATTTCATACTGGTGAGAAACCTTATGAATGTAAGGAATGTGGGAAGACCTTTAGTTGGGGATCAAGCCTTGTTAAACATGAGAGAATTCATACTGGTGAGAAACCCTATGAATGTAAAGAATGTGGGAAGGCCTTTAGTCGTGGCTATCACCTTACTCAACATCAGAAAATTCATATTGGTGTGAAATCTTATGAATGTAAAGAATGTGGGAAGGCCTTTTTTTGGGGCTCAAGCCTTGCTAAACATGAGATAATTCATACAGGTGAGAAACCTTATAAATGTAAAGAATGTGGGAAGGCCTTCAGTCGTGGCTATCAACTTACTCAGCATCATAAAATCCATACTGGTAAGAAACCTTATGTATGTAAAATTTGTGGAAGGGCTTTTTGTTGGGGCTATCAACTTACTCGACATCAGATATTTCATACTGGCAAGAAACCCTACGAATGTAAGGAATGTGGGAAGACCTTTAATTGTGGCTCGAGTCTGGTTCAACATGAGAGAATCCATACTGGTGAGAAACCCTATGAATGTAAAGCATGTGGAAAGGCCTTTAGTCGTGGCTATCACCTTACTCAACATCAGAAAATCCATACTGGTGAGAAACCTTTTGAATGTAAGGAATGTGGGAAGGCCTTCAGTTGGGGTTCAAGCCTTGTTAAACACGAGAGAGTTCATTCTGGTGAGAAATCTTATGAATGTAAAGAATGTGGAAAAACCTTTGGTAGTGGCTATCAACTTACTCGACATCAGATATTTCATACTGGTGAGAAAACCTATAAATGTAAGGCATGTGGGAAGGCCTTTAATTGTGGCTCGAGTCTGGTTCAACATGAGAGAATCCATACTGGTGAGAAACCCTATGAATGTAAAGAATGTGGAAAGACCTTTAGTCGTGGCTATCACCTTACTCAACATCAGAAAATCCATACGGGTGAGAAACCTTTTAAATGTAAGGAATGTGGGAAGGCCTTTAGTTGGGGTTCAAGCCTTGTTAAACATGAGAGAGTTCATACTGGTGAGAAATACTATGAATGTAGAGACTGTGGGAAGGCCTTTGATAGTGACTATCAACTTAGTGTTCATCAGAGATTTCATACTGGTGAGAAACCTCATCAATGTAAGGAATTTGGGAAGACCTTTACTTGTGGTGCACGCCATGTTCAACATAAAATAATTAATAATAATGATAAACTCTACAAATATAAAGAGTGTGGGGAAGCCTTTTTATGGACAGCCTATTCAAATGGGGCAGTTGATGCTGGTGAAACTATGACTGAAGAAATGTGAAAGAATGTGTTTTTGTGTGTGTATAGACAACTTACTTAATGTGAGAAGTCTTACTCTTGAGAAACCTTTTGAATGTAGGGAATGTGCAGAACCCTAAACTGTGTATGGATAATTGATATCAGAAAATTCATATTAGTGAGAAATATTTTGAAAATGAGGACTAAGAAAAGGCCTTTCGACTTCTGTATGATCTTGAACATCTATACTGATGTGAAGCCATTTAATTGTAGGAAATATGTAAAGATCTTTATTTTATTTTTTTAAGATCTTTAATTCATAGTACAAAGTCTCATAAGTGTTGGAAAAATTATGCTCGTCAGAAACTCTTTAAGGGATATGGGAAGATTCTAAATTTAATTTGGTTCTTGCATATCAGAGAATTCATACTGCTGTGAAATCCTGTGAATTTAAGGAGTATGGGTAGACTTGTAATCATGGTAAACATCTTAAAATACATCAGGGAATTCATCCTAATGAGAAGCCATTTGAATTAGAATTGTAGGAAGGCCTTTAGACAAGTGCTACTTCAACTATTGTCCAGAGACATTTTGCAGTTTATAAAATCATCGCCTGTCAATCATGAGATAAATGCAGACAGTGAAAGTAAACGTTTGGAAACTTTTATAGAAATTTGCTATTGCCATAACATTATCATTATATTTTACAAAAGTATCAGTCAATGAATGATTGGAAATTTAAAATGAAAAGTTTGTCCTTCCCTCTATAAGTTGAGAGACAACATTCATACTTTTTAAAACAGGAGACAAATCACAAAGTAACTTAATTAGAATAAGAAATTCTTCACTTGTCGGACAATGATTAGAATAGCAGAATACTTAATACTTCATAAGATATATATGATGTATACTTCATCAGACTTTGGTAAATCTGAATAAGGAAAAGTCAAGAAAGTTGGCAACATTGTAGAATCATTAATAAGAAAAGAGATATAATTAGAGATATGGAGGTTTTTGTTTTTTTTTTTAATTTAAGGCAACACAATGTATTTAAACATATTTGGATCAATAAGCAAAGGAAAAGACTGAAAAAAATTGCTCCAAGATCTCTTTTTTAGAAACAATAGTTGGAAATTGTCATCTTCTTAGGTATCAATTTCAAGAGGAAAAAAATTTTTTTTGCTATTTCATCTGGATAACATCTATATCTAGTAACAAAACTAAATGGAGATAGCCTCCAAAAAGCAAAAGCTAGATTAATTGAATTTGCGTGCATACATGTTCAGTTGCTTCAGTCATGTCCAACTCTTTGTGAACTCGTGGACTATAGCTCGACAGGCTCCTCTGTCCATGGAGATTCTCCAGGCAAGAATATTAGAATGGGTTGCCATGCCTTCCTCCAGGGGAACTTCCTGACCCAGGTAAATGCAAAAATTTTAAGTAAAACACCAATAAGCAGAATCCAGATGTAAGATTGCACAGTAGAAAATAATTTTTATGGAATATTCAAACCCGAAACTTTCTGGTTTAAATGGAAATATAGGCTAACTCACCAAAAAAAAAAAAAAAAGAATCAGTATAAGTTTAATTCATTCTGATAGTTCATCTTAAGATTTGTGTGACTTTTAGAGTAGGAAATTACACACAATGACTTAATTCTAAGAAGAATTTAATATTTGTAAATCAGAATGCATCTCAAAATTGGTGACTTTTCATTTTCATCTGGGTGGCTGTTATGATTTAGTGCCGGCATGAAAGCATATTAGTTATGATGAAATAAAAGAATGTTTATATACTCAGAATTTGACCCTTTAAAAATGACTGATTTCCAAAAATCAGTTACATCAGAACTGCACTGACAAATGTCTGTGGTTCATCTTGGTCATTGTTTTAATCTGCACCTCACCTCTATGTCCATTTTTGCAGATAGGCCATCCATGTTATCTCTGTTCAGTCGTTTATGGTCTAGTGGTTGACAGCATTATTCCACATAATTGTAATAATCAAATGTAACACAAAGCAGAATACTTTGAGTGTTTTAATAGAATATATCATCACCAGTTAGTATTTTACTCCTCCTGGGTACCATATTTGCATGTTAACTAGGAGATATGGTGATAGCACCTTATCCTACCATTCCGAAATTGTAGGTCTCGGAAGTCACCAGTGCTTAATAGTACTTCAGAAACAAAGGAAATTAATTCTCTGATTAAAGAAGCTTATGAAGCAGCATCTTCTAAAATACCCTCTTAAGGAACCACCTAAAGTACCTTATCAGCTTATCAAAAGGCTAAAGAGTAGTGAAGAAAATGGTTCAACTGTGTTTAAGTTGGCATATCTCAAACTTCACTGTGGAAATACCAATTCTCATGACTTATTAACATCTTGAGGGTGTGAAACTGCATTGGGAGGCGCAACCATAACTAAGAGATGATAAAGTTGGAAATTTCAGTCACCAAGTCTGATTGTTTAGCTATGACAGGATGACAGTATCGTACTCTCAGTTGCCTTCTAATGTTTTCTCTTACTTATGAGTAAATATCTTTGTTGTGTCTAAGTAGGCATGGCTCCTGAGTTTTATCAAATGCCATTTTATTATCTCCTGCAGTTGTATTTAATTTGTTATACTGTGATAATTATTTATACTGACAGACTCTTTGACTTCTTCCTGTTTCTAGGTATACTCAGGTTAGCCATTGGGGGTGTGTGTGTGTGTGTGTGTGTGTATGTTTTGGATGCACTATTTGATTTCACTTACTACTATTTTATTTAGAATTTTTACATCTCGTGAATAAGACTATATGATGATTTTCTTTTAGAATGTATTTTTTTTGTTTTTGTATTGCGATTACCTGTTCTTTAAAATTGCATGACTGTATTGGGTTGTTTTGTTTTGAATTGGAGGTCCTTAATCACTTTTCTAGTTTAATCTGTTGATTTTCTTGTCTTTGAATTTCTACTCAGGACACAACAATTTCACTGAATATCCAGCACAGTTCCTTTAAGGAATCTTCATAGTACCAGCCAAGATCCACATAAAAAAGAGTATTCCAACATAGTCCCTAATTGAAAATGTTTCAGTATGTGTTCTGGAAGATACCGTGTTGGGAAGTCAGAATGCGTTATAGGACTGTTATAATTAGCCATGTCTTTCAGAGTATATACATTTCTTTCTGTGTATACTGTGAAGTAGATTTGCTTGAGTTTGTTTATGGGTATGTCCATGTTCAGCTTTAATAAGTTTAGTTCTCCTACATATTAATAGATTTCCAAACAAATATACCAGCTGGCACTCCCAACAGCAGTGTGTGTTCATATCCTTGACAATATGTGGCATCATCAGTTAAAAAATATATGTACATATTTTGCTACTGTGGTAGGTATACAGTGGTACCTGATTGTAATGATTGTGGTTCACATTTCCAGTTTTCTGATTGTCTGTTGGCTATTTGAATTTTTCAGTATCTCTTCGCTCCTTGCTCATACATCATTGGATGCATTAGGTGTGTACAGTTTCACAAAGTATCTGCACAATTTCTAGGACAGGATTTGACACCTAGGCCATTGTGTGTGCATTTATCCTCCACTAGACAGGGAGCTGGTTGATGCCTATGATGGAATCAGCTTTGTCTTTGCATCTCCATCTCCCAGTATGATCCGTAAGTTTTAGTTGTTTAACACAGTTAGGATACACTCATCAGAAATTAAAAGAACCAAAATGATTGAAGCAATGAGGAAGTATATTGAGTCATATAATATGATCCATTCTGGGCTGGTTGCCCTTTGTGCCTGACATGAGAGATACTGTGATCTCCACCACCATCACATTAGAGATTCTTTTCACTTCTCTCCTACACTGAGTTTCTAGTTTTCTGCTTGCTCCCATGGAGCAACCTCCAGTTGCTTTCTTAGAAGGGGGTGATTTTTGAAATAACTCACGTGGTTATAAAGGTTATTCTCCCCTTCTGTTTCTGATGTCTCATTTTGGCCAGCAGATTCTTGGGCATGTTCTTTTCATGGTCCATGGCAGAAGCACAAAATGATGAGCCAAAACATCTTTAAAGTCTGTACAACCGTCCTGATCGGCTCACATTCTGTTGATTAGACAAGTCAAGTGGAAAAGCCCAACATTAACAGAGGCAGGGGTGAACCATGCCAAGGGCAGATGGTAAAGGAAGAATTGTGGGAAAACAGTATAAGCTACCAGGCTCATAACAACATAGGTGGCTTCCCTATATTACCTTATGGGGGTAGCTGAGCAATAGTTAATCATTTCAAAGATAATATATCTCCATGATGTCAGCCAATAGAAAAATATAAACCTTCCCTATAACCATGCTCATAGTTGCCAAATGAATTTATAAATTTACATCCATTTCTTTTAAAAATAGTAAATTATCATGTATTAATATTGTTTAAATTGAGTCTTCCTTGGTGGCTCAGTGGTAAAGAATCTGCCTGCTAATGCAAGAAATGCAGTTTCAATCCCTGGGTTGGGAAGATCCCCTGGAGAAGGGAATGGCTACCCACTCCAATGTTCTTGCCTGGGAAATCCCATGGACAGAGGAGCATGGCAGGCTACAGCCCATGGGTTTGCAGAAGAGTTAGACACAACTTAGTGACTAAAAACAAATTGAGTCTTATGATGATTGTGGCAGAATGATTATCACTAATATGTCTGTTTATGAATCAGTTCAGTTCAGTCACTCAGTCATGTCTGACTCTTTGTGACCCCATGGGCTGCAGCACGCAGTCCATGAATAGTTATGAA